CTCTCTCTCTCTCTCTCTCTCTCTCTCTCTCTCTCTCTCTCTCTCTCTCTCTCTCTCTCTCTCTCTCTCTCTCTCTCTCTCTCTTTTTTATCCATTTTTGGCATGTGAGTTCCGAGCACCCACAGGCATGCAATGGTGAGAACGTTGAGCGAAGGCGTGAACAAGGGGGTGGCGGTTATCGGCAAAGTGCTGCTTGCAGTGCCCGCCGAAGACTCTGTTCCGCTGTGAGTCTCCCGTGCTGCAGAGTCCTGCAGTTAAATCCCGCCAATTCCCCCTCTCTGACATTGTCCGTCCTTTTTCGTTTTTTTTGAATTTTTTTCTTGTTTTTTATTATTTTAAATATTTTTCCCTCTCTGACATTGTCCGTCCTTTTTCTTTTTTTTAACTTTTTTTTATTTTTTTTCTTGTTTTTGATTTTTTGAAAAAGACTATGGCCATCCTCACAATTACGTCCAGAGATACGTTACCAAGATGTCGTAATGTGAGTCTTCCCCCCTCAGACTCCAAGAGAGGGCAAAGAATGAGAACTTCAAAAAAAAAAAAAAAAAAAAAAAACTATGAACTTAGTATGAAGTTCTGAGTCGCTGACCTACAGGTCCTGCAGGCAGGCAAGACTGAGTCAATGAGCGGTGGGTTGCTGGTTGTCGATAACGTGCTGTAGCTGAGCTGCTGCTTGCGGTTCTTCTTCCAGAGAAGAGAGGATTCTGGTACTGAGTAGTACTAAGTAGTGCTAACTTCAAATCTCCTGAAAATGGATATCGCGAAGTACCACACTGCCTGGGTTGGGAACATAACAGATTTGGGAGGAGGGGGGGGGGGGGGGGGGGGAGTTTAGGAGGAGTTGTAGTTTTTCCAATTTTGTTTATTATCTTTTCCCTTTTTCGTAAACCGCCAGTACCTTTCTCAGGGAACGGAGGCCGACGAAGTTGTTCACGGCCGCATTGTTCGGGGGCTCGGCGGCGTGTTGGAGCTCTTTGGCTAGTAGTGCCAGCCAAAAAGAAGAACAATGAGCACCACACCGGTTCGATTCGAACTTGCCGCACAACACGATCCCGCTACACAGAAAACAGGCTCGGCGGTAGTGGTGGTTTAAAATTGAAGTAAGTGAAAAAAAATATATTATCGAGCCCAGAGATGGTTGGATGATCTGAATTCCATCCCGAGCCCAGACCTCTGCGTTGATCTGTACAAGGGGGTGTATCCTTCCCTAAAAATCATGGGAACCGTCCGGACGTCCGGACCGGGTTCCAGACAGTGCGGTGTCCGGTGTCTGGTCCTGATGTCCGGATGGAGGCCCCTGGGGAGAAAAAAAAAAAAAAAAAAGGGCGGCCCAGGACGTTTATCGGGTCCTGGCCGCCCCTCGAAGAATAACGGGGTGATTTTTCAGTGTCATTTCACCCCACCGGACAGGGCCTAGAGGTCCAGACACAAGACACTGCAGGTTTCTGGGGTGGCGGGTTTCACACAGGCCCGAGCAGTTTCAACTCGCCCGCCGCTGCTGCCCGTTGGAGAGAGAGAGAGAGAGAGAGAGAGAGAGAGAGCACTGACAGTGCTGCCAGTCTGAAGACTCTGACGTTCTGAATTGAACTGCAAAGTTTGAACTTTTAAGTTGTGTATGAAGTTATGAACTTAAATTACTAGATTCAAAGTTCAAAGTTAATCATACTTTTCTCAAAAAAAAAAATCTCTGTTTCTTTAGTTTTGTGCCTGCTTTGCACTGTTTGCAACTCTGCATGTCTGCTAGTTAAATGTGCTTGTTGATTTGCTGCAAGACAC